TATTTATCCTTTCTAATAGTTTTGCTAGGCATGCATCTGTTTGTCAATGGCCTATTGCTGGCCACCTAGTGATTGTGTTTAGTTTTGTTTCATATTCGTCTCTCTGATGTTTATGTGTTGATGTGTGTTGTATTAGTTGTCGTTTGTATGTAAGTCTACTGTTGATCGTTGTTCTGTTTTGTTCTTGAATGTATTGTATGTTAGGATCCCCTCGAAAACGAGGTGATTCACCTCAAGGGGTTTATCCTAATAAAATAAACTTAATCATCAACCAGAGTTGCCATCATTTCATGTCCTTCTATGTGCCTGTATTTTATATTAATTTTTATATCAATGAAAAAAACAAATCCGTGTTACTAAATTCTTACATTTTTACATCTATCTCAGCATAGCAAGTTGGAAGTTGACATATTCTACCATATATGAAGAGGGGAGACTCTCTGGAATCTGGCAATATAAGAACCATGATGGTGGCACATTCTGTCACTTCACAGTTGTCCAAAACATGTGGTTTGTGCCAGGCGGACATGATTGCCAGTATTTTTTCATTATTGCAAGAAATTCCATTGACTCATTCACAAGTCAAAAATGTGTTTTATCTGAAAGAAACATGCAATATTTACATCTAAGATAATAGGGGGGACATTTTGGGCATTGGAGGGGAGGGGGGGGACATGTCCCCCTCAATGTATATGGTGACTACGGCCCTGTCATGCATGCATAATTAGGCTACAGTTGTCTGGGTGCGCAAAGGTGAAGTACGCTGGTCTTGTCATACAAAGTTTGACGAGTGTCAACTGGACAATATGGAGATGGACTACAAATGTGGATAGACAGGGAGAAACACATGCAAGCCTAAGATGTGGTAAGATACGATATTCCTCACTATATGAAGTGACTGATAAGATGGATTGTAAAGAAATTCGTCAGGTTTTTATTTTGTAGACAATCAATCCATATTTATAGCATGATGGGATGACAGCACAATGATGTGGTATCACTGGAAAGCTCTAGTCCTGCGCTTTCATGTGATATGCGTGGCATTTCTGTGCGAGCCTGCATTCGCGAGTAATCCATCTAAGAGTAATGTGTGTGCAAAGCTGCATGAAAGCTCTGTTATTCATGATTTTAGTGTAAATTTCTCATTTTTTTTCTCTGTGAAAACATTGGACTACCGACAAGTGCTTGGCCTTGTCAGAACGCTACAGTTCCACTGTTTCACGTGATATATGTGGCTTCTCGCTATGACACACGGTCGCGGAAAAAATCAATAGAGAAGAACAGGTGTGAATTTGGACGCACTGTGCGTCGTTCAGGCCCATAGGGTTAAAAATTCTCCAGCTAATTCAGAATGCAGCGGCACGTGTACTAACAGGAACTAAAAAACGAGATCACATTTCTCCTGTTTTAGCTTCTCTGCACTTGCTCCCTGTTAAATCCAGAATTTAATTTAAAATCCTACTGTTAACTTATAAAGCTCTAAATGGTCAGGTTCCGTCATATCTTAGAGAGCTCATAGTGCCATATTATCCCACCAGAGCACTGCGCTCTGAGAATGCAGGGTTTCTCGTGGTCCCTAAAGTCTCCAAAAGTAGATCAGGAGCCAGAGCCTTCAGCTATCAGGCTCCTTTCATGTGGAATCATCTTCCTGTTGCGGTTCGGGAGGCAGACACTGTCTCCACATTTAAGACTAAACTTAAGACTTTCCTCTTTGATAAAACTTATAGTTATGGCTGGCTCAGGCTTGCCCTGTACCAGCCCCTAGTTAGGCTGACTTAGGCCTAGTCTGCCGGGGGACCTCCTATAATACACCGGGCACCTTCTCTCCTTCTCTCTCTCTCTCTCTCTCTCTCTCTCTCTCTCTCTCATATCCTGTTACTGCATCTTGCTAACTCGGCCATACTGCATGTCACTAACTCGGCTTCTTCTCCGGAGCCTTTGTGCTCCACTATCTCACAGATTAACTTATATCGCAGCGGTGCGGTGTCTGTTATTATACACATATGATTATTGTCACATACATATACTATCAGATATTAATATTTACTTTCAACATATTGTACCACAATAGCCAGAATAATTATAATATTATTACTTTCAGTAATGTTGTTGTAAGCTACTGTCATTACCGTCTGTCTCTGTCTCTCTTTCTGTCTCATTGTGTCATACGGATTACTGTTAATTTATTATGTTGATCTGTTCTGTACGACATATATTGCACGTCTGTCCGTCCTGGAAGAGGGATCCCTCCTCAGTTGCTCTTCCTGAGGTTTCTACCGTTTTTTTTCCCCGTTAAAGGGTTTTTTGGGGGAGTTTTTCCTCATCCGCTGCGAGGGTCCTAAGGACAGAGGGATGTCGTATGCTGTAAAGCCCTGTGAGGCAAATTGTGATTTGTGATATTGGGCTTTATAAATAAAATTGATTGATTGATGTACAGAGGCATCGCCTGGCTGCAGCAGCCGTGGGTTCGGTTCCGGCTTGTGGCCCTTTGCTGCGTCAGTCCCCACTCTCTCTCCCTCTGTCTCCCAATTTCACTCACTGTCCTGTCCATTAAAGGCAAAAAGCACACAAAAATAATTATTAAAAAACAAAAATTAAATTACTGTCTCTTCTCTTCCCTCGCCGTCCTGCCCCCCCCCCCCCCCCCCCCCCCAAAAAAACCCATACAGCCTCCTTTACCCAGACCGCTCCCTGGTTTACCACTGGTATCCAACAGCTGAAAACTGCTGGTCGTTGACTGGAGCAGCTGTGCAAAAAGACTGGACTTTCAGTACATACCCAAATATACACTGAACATCTACATCAATATAAGAATGCTCTTTCCACTGCCAAATCCCCGTACTACTACAACCTCATTAGTACGGCCAAAGATAACATAGCCCTGTTCACAACAGTCAGTCACCTACTCCAACCTCCTAAAACCCTCACCCCGAACACTTCTACTGACCAATGCTTTGCCTTTCTGGACTTCTTCATTAACAAAATCAACACCATCCACATACAGCTGCAGTAGTCATTCACTTCCTCAAAGGATCCACCCTGGATGCTTAAAACAGGCCAATCACTCATCAGCCCCCTCTCTAACTTCACCCCTCCAACAGAAGAAACCATCTCTGAGCTCATCTGCAAAGCAAGACCACCCACCTGTCAGATCAATCCCCTTCCCACTACTCTCCTAAAAGCCTGCCTGCCATCCGTGTCCCCCATGATCACTGCAATAATCAACTCCTCCCTTACCTCTGAAACTGTACCCTCCACTCTCAAACTGGCTGCAATTACACCCACCTTCAAAAAAACAGGTGCTGACCCAGCTGACCTTAACCACTACAGGCCAATCTCTAACCTCCCCTTAATTTCAAAAATCCTGGAGAAGGTGGTTGCCGCTAACTTCAGTCCCACCTTGACTCAAACAACCTCCACGAACCCTTCCAATCTGGTTTCCGCCCAAAACACAGTACTGAAACAAACCGGGTTATAATCACCAATGACCTCCTCTGCGCAGCTGACTCTGGACTGCTCGACATTCCTTATCTTCCACGATCTCAGTGCTGTGTTCGACACCATCTCCCATCATCTACTCCTGGAACACATGGCTGATATTGGGATCTCTGGTGTTGCACTTTCGTGGTTCATGTCCTATCTCACTGACAGACAATAGTTTTTCCAGATGAGGAACCACAAGTCAACGTGTTCTGCTGTTTCACTGGGTGTCCCCCAAGGATCAGTATTGGGTCAATTATTATTTATCATCTACCTCATTCCCCTGGCCACAATCCTCCATCACGATGGTGTTAATTTCCACTGCTACGCAGATGACACACAGGTCTACATCTCATCTAAACCATCCACTGCCCTTCCTCCCACCTCCCTCACCACCTGCCTTAAGGACATCAGGAGTTGAATAAGCAGGAACTTTCTGAAGCTCAGTGGCAGCAAAACCGAAGCCCTGCTCACTGGTTCCAAAAACACTGTGGCCAAAATTCAAAGCACCCAAGTCCCACACATCATCATTGATAACTTCCCTGTACCCTTTTCCAGCCATGTGAAGAGCCTCTGTGCCTTCCCACCAAACTCATGAGCAGGCTTCAGATCATCACCTGCACCAAATCATCTGACCACATCACCCCCATTCTCATCCAACTACACTGGCTTCCTGTTCATTACCAGATTGATTACAAAAACCTTCTGCTCACCTTCAAAGCCCTCCACAACCTAGCCCCCACCTAGGAGTACACCCCCTGCAGCTCCCTGCGCTCTTCCTCTGCTAGTTTCCTGACCGTCCCCACTTCACGCCTCACCACCATGGGTGCCAGGGCTTTCAGCTACACTGCTCCCAGGCTCTGGAACTCCCTATCTCCACACAGTCAACAGTCTGACAGCATAAAATCCTTCAATTCCAATCTCAATCCACTCAGTGTCCTTACTTATGTAAAATATGCTGCAATCCATGCTCTCTGTTATGGTTGTATAAGAAGTAGAGAGAACTGTGTGAAAAGGTTTTCAGTTTCAGAGCACAGTTGGCAGAGGAGCATAAAATTGATGGAGAAAAACTGTACAGCATGTAAAGGTTTGCACGTGGATCCACGAAATGAAAATATGAACCTTTAACTATGATGAGAATTGTCGGACACAATTAACACTGCCACAACTCCCATAGTTTTAGCAGTCCTTCACAGGCCCATCCTATGTTAAATATTGCCCCAACCAAAACACAGATCCTATATAGTGTACCTCTACAGGCATTGCCTTCAAGATATCACATACACATCCAAATGTGACTAACTATACCTGTGGCATTGAAAAAGTTACAACCACATAAGACTGCATTTTTCCAGAGTATGTATCATAGCTTCAGGTAAAACAGTCACCTCGTGAAGTCAAGTTTTGTTTGGGAAAACCGTTACATCAGCCACACACTGACGTTAATAAGTAATCAGAACTGGGAGGGTTTATGGTGAGGGTCAACAGATAAAAAGATGGATTGATCAAATATTACTGACCTGTTTGCCAACATCCTCCAGGGGTGTGGCCATAGTGTGCTCTGTAAATAGATGGAATTCATATATTAAACACTTTGTAAGAATTATGTAGTGCACTAACTAACCCTTTGTCATTTTACATCTGTGACTGAATTGTGAGAAGTGAGACAGGCCGGACTGGCCACTGGGAGAATAGGGAGAAAAACTGTTGAAAATCGCTGAATGAAATACAGGGTATGTTATCTTATATCATGAACTTATTTTATAGCTTTACAGATACCCCCCATTGAAGTGATTTCTGATTTGAGTAAAAGGAACGAGAGCAGCCGTAGGTATATAAGCTGTGCGCTTGCACTGCGTTCTTCAGTTGGCAGTTACACTCAGAGTAAAGCTACTAAAGGCCAGCCAAGTCACTGTTTGTTTTCATTCTGTCAGAATAAAACCATCCTCACCTTTTCTTAAAATATGTTCATCCTGGGTCCGTGATTTGTGGGTGTAACATATAAGCCTATTGACGTCAGTCGTTAGCCTCTTAGCTAGCAAGTGAAAATCACTGTTCATGGCAAACTAACATTTTCAACCTAGGTTAAGTCAACTGCATGGCTAAAGTTAGTTTACCGTAACATCAGTCATGGTAATGGGGATGCTTCAGCTCTTACAAGTGGGGTGTTTTGTCAGATAAGATAAAAAAATGGAAAATAAAAAACCCTTACGGGACATTTGGACACTTGCTAAGGGAATAGCATCATTTTGTAAATTTAATGCTACTATACACAACAGAATAAGCATTCTGGATACATTTTGATTTTGTCAATTTTAATTAAAACGGTTATTATTCATACTTATAATACATGATTGGATGGGTTTACTGAATACTGCAATTATAGTGCAATTATTATTCTTTCTCAGTTCTTCAGTTGACAACTGAAATATAGAAGTCTTACAAAAAATTTCACCTTATATAAAGTGGCGGCATTTTTTTTTTTATGGCAGTATAAGCAACGTGGCAGGAGGGAGAGCTGCACAAGAGTGAACAGAGCACAGATGATTTAAGGACACTGCCATGATCAAAGGGTTGCATTGGAAATGTATGCTGCAGTGGAAAGAAATTTCCATGTGAGTGGCGTTGACTCTTTGCTCTCTAGTTTGTAGGTTGGGTGCATTTTTAAAAACAAATACACCTAATTTACTAACTTATAATTTCTGATTACTCATTATGGCACCAGTATTGTATTCTCTAATTAATCAAATTCTATAAAAAAGGAGCAACTGTTTAGCTCACCTATGCCTTAAAACTATGGAGTTAGATTTGTCTCATTAATACCTGTAAATGCACAGAGGGTGATCTACAAATATTTCTTGATCTGCACACGTTTCATAATTATGTGTGTGTGAACAGATCGACAATCTGTGTGTAAATGTGTAATCTGTAAATATAAAACACATTCCACAAATACAAAAAATATCTGTGAATACATTAAATTAATTTGCAAATAAATGAAAAGCATTTGTGAATATCTTCCTAACATTTACAACTTTCGAACAGGCATTTGTGAAATCAGTTTTTATTTGTGAATCGAAAAAACATTTGTGGATCTCAGTTCTTTGCGTGTGGATTTGCTTTTTACACACACGGATTTTTGAGACAAACTTTCCGCCGGTCCAAACGAAAATGCACTCGTATCACTCGGCCATCTTCGGACAGCACGTGATGACCCAGCTGATGACGTCATTTCCGCATGTGAAAGTAAGAGCATGCAGTCTTTCTATGGCTGTTTTTTGTTGTTGTTTTTTTAATAATAATCAGCAATAAGTAACGTGCATTCATTGTTTTATGTTAATGTCATACAGTGAGTATTAGTGTATGTTTATTTGTTCTATGTATCTGGCACACTTTTGTATACATTTCTGTTTGAGTATGAAAGGCACGGTGGCTGCTTCTTCAGTTAGCAGTTATCAGCCAACTCATCCTTTATATTTTTCTTTTATTCTTTCGAGTAGGATTAAAGTCACAAAGCACTTCACATCTTATTATTAGTGTACTCTTACTAATGTAGTTGTAATGTCTGTGCTGACCGCATCGTGTTTAGTTAGATTACATCGTTTCAATGAGGTTACGTTAACTGTTGTAAGATATTACAAGTGGCAACACCCTACACCCACTTTTATACATTGTTAATAGACCAGAAGTCAGTACCATCCAACCTGTAAAGAGGGCCACGGTAGAAGATGCTGGTGAATGACATCCAGACATCTCTCCACAACCTTTCAATGCTAGTGTAATCAGTACAAAATTATGGGGTTTAAGATTTAGACATTTTCAGCACAGCATTTAAAAGATCATTTTATCATTAAACAATAATAGAAAATAAATACAGCTATTCATTAGGGCCGTAACGGTACATGTATTTGTGTCGAACCGTTCGGTATGTGACTTTCACTTCGGCACGACCCTGTACCGAATTATTGAGCGCAGGATATTATCTTATTTTATTTTGCTTTATTTTAATTACGTTTTTGCGAGCCGAACCATTTAAAATATCTAGTTCCCCGACGGACATAATTGAGTGACGGACCGAGTCCGACCGTAAATCTCCGCTTTCACTTTGTGCAGCGCATTCTCGCATTTTGACAACATGGCAAGTGAGCCTGACGAACCTGAAGACCCACCCGCAAACCTTAAGTCCTCCGTTTGGGAACACTTTGGTTTCAGGGTAAAATACGAAGATGGAAATAAACAAGTTGACAAGACAAAAGCAGTGTGCCGACACTGCAGAACAGCGGTCGGGTATGTACTTGGAAACACGTCTAACATGCTAACGCATCTAAAGCGACACCACCCGAGTTTGAACGTTAACCGGCACGACTAGAAAAAGCAATCTGGTGCAAACTACGATATCGTCGTCGTTTAAAAAGAAAGAGCGTTTCCCTGACCATCGCGCTAAAGAAATAACCAACGCCATTGGAGTTGAGTAAAATTGTTTAAGCTGCACTTTAGATATAAGCATGTTTTGTTTACTGCACTTTAACAAAGTGGGGAAGCTAAGTAAGTTCCTAGTAAAACTGAATCTGAGCAGGCTTTAAAGCTGACCAGCTGCACTATACTTTTTATTTTAATTGAGTAAAACTTATGTCTGTTTAAGCAGAAATTTATATTTATATTTTTCATTCAAAAAATGTGTTAAAAAAACAGCAGGATTTTATTTTTAACTTTTATATTTCTATTTTCATTCAAACAATGTGAAAAAGCAGGATTTTATATATATTTGTTTCATTCAAAAATTGTGTAAAGAGAGTTAACTGCTGTGGTGGTATGCTTTAATAAGGTTACCAATAAGTAAAAGATATTTAATAGTTGTCTATTTTTTTCATTACTGTACCGAAAAAAAAATGAACCGTGACTTGTGTACCAAGGTACGTACCGAACCGTGATTTTTGTGTACCGTTACACCCCTACTATTCATAAAATATATTTGTATTCATAAGAATGAATAAAAATGCAAAATATAAGTGTACCTACATCTGATCTAACACATGCAGTCTATGTTCTAACTGCTGAGTTTTCTAGTGTCAATAGAGCCATAAGTCATGATGACATAAAAACACTTTGACCAGTAGATGGCAGTAGCAGGTCTGCTGGCCAAACAAAGACAACTGCCAACTGATTATACATATAGAAAATACCAATTATGCTAAAAACAACAAATGGGGTACATGATTACAATAAATGCAATGGTAAGTGAAACATGACACAAGTTATCTTTTACAGGTTGGATGGTACTGACTTCTGGTCTATTAACAATGTATAAAATGCTGCACCCTGCTTTCGTGCCCCCAACCCACAACATGAATGTTTACTGTTGCCATGGCAGCAGATGCTGTTTCAGTAGCTAACGTTAGCTTAGCACAATCTACATATTAACAATGAACAATACAACTACAATATTACATTTCTAAACAAAAAGAGCTACCAACACCAACAGCTATTCTATCAAAGACCTTAACCAGGGTGTTGCCACTTGTCATATCTTACAACAGTTAACGTAACCTCACTGAAACGATGTAACCTAACTAAACACGGTGCGGTCAGCACAGACATTACAACTACAATAGTAAGAGTACACTAATAATAAGATGTGAAGTGCTTTGTAACTTTAATCCTACTCGAAAGAATAAATGAAAAATATAAAGGATGAGTTGGCTGATAACTGCTAACTGAAGAAGCAGCCAAGCCACCGTGCCTTTCATACTCAAACAGAAATGTATACAAAAGTGTGCCAGATACATAGAACAAATAAACACACACTAATACTCGTTGGATGACATTAACATAAAACAATGAATGCACGTTACTTATTGCTGATTATTATTAAAAAAAACAACAACAAAAAACAGCACATAGAAAGACTGCATGCTCTTACTTTCACATGCGGAAATGACGTCATCAGCTGGGTCATCACGTGCTATCCGAAGATGGCCGAGTGATACAAGTGCATTTTCGTTCGGACCGGCAGAAAGTTTGTCTCAAAAATCCGTGTGTGTAAAAAGCAAATCCACACGCAAAGAACTGAGATCCACAAATGTTTTTTCGATTCACAAATAAAAACTGATTTCACAAATGCCTGTTCGAAAGTTGTAAATGTTAGGAAGATATTCACAAATGGAATGTGTTTTATATTTACAGATTACACATTTACACACAGATTGTCGATCTGTTCACACACATAATTATGAAACGTGTGCAGATCAAGAAATATTTGTAGATCACCCTCTGTGCATTTTAGGGATGTAACGATTACCAATATTACGGTAAATCTCGGTTAATTTTTACACGGTAAGAATTACCGTTTATGTTTAAATTAATTGCATTATCGCAGTGGATTATCAGGATATGTAATAACAGCCTCATTCAAGTCTCGCGATGCAGGTGCTGCGTGAATGCGTAGCATGTGTAAACACAAAGAATGAAAACAAAGGCGGAAGGTGGTGATAGCGGCACTCAGGACATTTCCCCCCCCCAACTAAACATACAAAGTCTGAGGTCTGGGCGTACTTTGGGTTTCTGAAGAATGCCGAAGGACAGCCGGTGGAGGACAACTATCCTGTGTGCAGAACATGCAGAAAGAAAGTTGCTGCGAAGGGTAGCAACACGACAAATCTGCTGGCTCATCTCCGTGACCATCATCCACAGCTTTACAGCCAATGGAAGTTATGCCATGCAAACGTCAGTCATTGTGTGAGGGACTTCGGTTTTACTAAGATTGTCATAATGTGTAACTCTCGACGTATACGGGACATTTGAGCCGTATCTGTCCTCCTAAACGACGACTAGGTTTTCCGTTTTCGTTTAAGACACTTAGGAGCTAATACTAGCTGAGTAGCTAATAGCCGTATTAGCAGCTATGTTGCTAAGTGTTTCAAAACGAAACGGAGCTGAAAACACTGAGTGGAGCCGACAGAATATAAACCGACGTAATGTAACGCTAATTGAGATCAACCACGATTGAATCACTATGATTATGGTTATTGTATGGTGAGCTAGAATCGATATAGACGGCCAGTTATGCTTTCTCGACATAAGCTCAAGGAAACAGCATAAAACGCTGCCGTGTTAACCTTTGACCGAGAGCCTTAATGGGGGCTCTCGGTTTTATAAGGTTAATTAAATTCACTGCTCACAGTCATGACCTAACACACGCACACACACGAGAACATGCACTCCTTTTCTCATACAGGCACTCCTCTCACTCACATGCACATTTCTAATGTGTGAATTATTCTGTGTAATGATGACCATTGCCCTTAGGGTTTTTTGGTTTCTCCTGCACATTTGTGATATCTATTCTATATATTGTATGTTTTTTGTTCTACTCTTGCATTGTTTTGTTTTATATATATTTTTCCTCTCGTGCTAATAAATAAATAATATATAAATTGTTTACATATTTTGCTGACTGTTAAAATGCACCAGACAAATAAGCTTTGTTTCTGTAATTTGTTTTCATATTTTGTTTATTTAAAATAAATTTTTCTGTTGCTGTGCCAATCCCTTGCCCCTTTAATGTGAAAGTTTCATTTTAATGTAAGATTTTGGCTGTTAACATTTTAGTATGATAAGGAAGTTACAAGATTTAGTGAAGTTATTTCAATGTATCTATTTTTTGGACATTTTACAGCGCTTACAAAAATATTGCGATATTATCGTTTACCGTGATAATTTGGTCACTATAATCGAGATATCAAATTTTCCATATCGTTACATCCCTAGTGCATTTACAGGTATTAATGAGACAAATCTAACTTCATATAAAACAGCCGTACTGTTCTGTCTGATGAAACACAGAATAAAAGAGTTTCTCACCAGCATCCAAAGCAGAAAAACTAGACTCCCTGCTTCATGGTTGCATGCCTCCACGCACCAGTAAAGTTGCACTTACAGATTACATCCATGTCCGTGAAAACATGGATGCTTCACACACATCTTCCTACTGGTGGCACAGAAGATCTATACAATCAGCACAGTTTCAAGTTGGGCTCCCAAGATGAGTGTCATAAATTCGGTACCTGACCAAATGTCTCCCCGTCCTATTGAGTTATTTGACGACCAATTTGTAATCAGTTTGTTAAGTCCAAATGAATGTTTGTGCAAAATTTGGAGAAATTCCCTCAAGGTGTACCTGAGATAGTGCATTCACAAAAATAGGTTGGAAAGATGAACAACCTGAAAACATAACGCTTCTGGCCATGGCTATCACCAGCACGGAGGCATAAAAAGATAAAATTAAAGTAAAAAAACATCAACAACATGGGAACAGTCAACAGTGATTGATGTCATTTGGGTGAATGGCGAGGCCACTGACATAATGAACACCTACACGCACTAAAATCCAAATTCATGACTGAGCACCTTTATGAATATTTAATCTTATGTTGAAAAGTTTGTCCAGATATGTCAAATACAGATTTACTTTTGTGAAAAATGTATGATAATTGCGATAATCGTCAGATGAAATTATGAAAAAACAGTCAAATTTAGGCTCTTACCAATCTTTATAATGTTGTTTAAAGGCTTATCATCTTCATCATCTGTATCCCCCTCTTCTTGTTCCAGGACAGGGTTGGACTGTTGGAGAATGACAGGACAGACCACATCTCGGCCACTGTCCTCCTTAGGGTTTGTCCTCGGGCTAGGGAGTCAGAAGAAGAGCACGAAATCTATCAGTGGAAGACAGAAATATATAAACTAAAGCTGTAATTAACATTTTTATTCAACTTAATCTCTGTGGAAAAAGTTTAATATGAACATGCTACACCCTAACAGGTCTGTGACTGCTTAAAGGAGCAAACACTGTTCTTTAGGCTAAAATTGGTCCATCAATAGTTATTGTAGGAATAATTAACTGAAAATGTTACTGAAATTATAGACTGATTATAAATGTTAAAGAAAAACAGAATTAAGTTTATTTACACCCCAAAGTACAGTATTTATCTAATTCAGAACACAGCATACAGTCTGGTTGTACATAGTTGTACACACACACACACACACACACACACATACATATGTA